TAGTTAATGAAATTCACTTTCGTTCTTCATTTCAAGCTTCTATGTACGCAATACTTTCTCTTCCTTTTTCTATCAACTTCCTACTTATCGAGTAGGTCGCAATACTACTGTAGCCATTTCTTTTCTAGTAAATTTCGGTTCTTTTGTAAAATGAGTTACAGTTGCAAATAGATTGATGGAGTCCCGGTGTCTCTCTGGCGTTCAGCTCTCAGATGGACAACGCTTAATATTGCGGACGTGTGTTCGAGGTTTTAACTGTTTAGAGGTGTTTTTTCAACGTGTTCTATTACCAATTCCTCATGCCCCTGATAGAAAATCTATGTGCGTATATGCCAAGTCTGATTGAAACGGTAGGTTGCATACAATAACGCCCGTAATCATTCGAATAATACTCGTTTTGTACTGTACTTTATTTCTATTATACTTTTGATGCACGATTTTTTATTAAAGTTATTACCATGTAACCAAAACCAGTTCAGTCTCAATAAAGAATGTTCTAGGTAGAACTTGCATGGTTTCGGAAACATGACTCGACGTGATTAATTCATTTGCACTAGCATGCGTAGGAAGCATATGAAGTTCGTTTGGTGCTATTTTTACATATGTCGATTCTTCTGAATATACTACGTCGCAAGATATTGGATTGTACGTGCTACGTGCTTCACCCTATATATTCCTGATTTTCAAAACGAAACAAAAGTAACAAAGCTAATAAATATAAATATAATTGTTAAAGTCATACCTATTATAGGAACATTGAATCGATGTGCGAAAGCGTAAGTGGCGGGCGCGTAGAGGACTTCTGTCAAATAGACATCGAACGTTGCGTTGCTTTCAGGAGCATACAGCTTTCGCAGTTCTGTAGAATTGAGCACCGTTTCCGCAAACACTTTGGTCACAGGCAACAGTTTTTCTTCCACAATATCCAGCCAACGTTTTCCCTCAAATCGCATTTGAACATAATCTAATTTCTTTATGATTCCGTAAGATTGGCTAATATCGATTTGCGTAAAATTTGGTGATTTGATATTTGGTATAGGATCCGTCGTGGCTAGCACAACTTCGTGACCCCGTTTGTGTAATTCCAGCCATAATCGTCTGAACGGTATTTGATGACTGTAGGATGGTGAGGGAACGATAGCTAGAATCTTGTAACATCCCGACTGCTTTGCGATGTACAAGACGCACAGGACGAATAACAGACTAGGCAGGTGGTGCTTCATATTCCTGGTGTCGAGACAAATTGAAGCAGGTTGCGGTTGTGGGTCTACTAAAAAGTTGGTCTTCAAGCTATCGTCATTTCGCATAATCTATGTAATGATGATACGATATCGGTATATGTTGTGATTTTAAAATAGTACCCATTATCCCTGAATTATCGTCTCATATCGCTAGTAATTTTAAATATTGCTACGTGTAATGGCAATATATGTTTGGAGGACAAATACGTTGTTTTGGCGTCCATATCTTAATATATCATATCAAGGAGATCATATAGATGATAACAGAGATTGTCTGTTTACAGATTTGTATATTATATTTGTATAGTATATTATATACTATACGATATATTTATCAATATTTCTTATCTCAAACAATTTCATGCATGGTTCAGCATTTGTAAAACTTGTGTTGTTATATAATGATAAAACGCAGAAGTCAAGGAATTTGTAAAGTATCGTTTATAATGGATAATGTGAATTGTATATATGATTATTTCCAAAAGTAATAGTAAGAAATGTAAGCATTTTGCTGCCTATTACCTCCGCCATTTCTTGCTCACTTTTCATATAAGAACTAGAACATGGTTCAGAAGCATAAGAGAGAATGATAAATATCATGATTAAAAATATTTGTATGAGATACAAACGTAGCGAGATAAAATATCAATTACAGGTATAGATTCTGTATCACAATGTCATGTAATACAACTGTGCGCTACGATGTTGCAATCGTATAACACACTCGTATTCTAGTATTTAATACCATTTTGTCGATCAAGTGGCAATGACAGAAATCATTTGTTACATAAGAGGATCAAATCAGCAAATAATAAACATCATGAGAAAGTTTATTGGAAATACACAGTTGTACTTCATTATCAGTTTACGCTATTAGACTGACGACGCAGACTAATGTTATAGTGTTGTTATACCTCCAACTGCAAAACTTCGTATGCAACAGGCTTTAATGCATGTTCTCTTTTATCATAAACGCTCATAACCGAACATAACGGATCACTTCTTTTTCTGAGAATATTTCTATTCATATTAATTTTAATACGCAGAAATTAAATATGAACAATATTTTAAGTAATAATTGGAATTTTGCTTCTATATTTTTTATAACGATACTTTATCAATGTTTTATGAATAGAATATGAAGATATCATGTGAATATAAATCGTTCGAAGCTTTGCTAAGTACTTGTAACAACACTACGAAATTATTTTCAGGTACATATCTTTTATTATTATAGGAGAAATTGTTCGATATGCCAGGCTAGAGAGATATAACATCAAAGATTATTTGCCATCTGAACGGCGGCTGACAGGTATTTGCCAGTAAAAAAAGTGCTTGACAAAGATCATTTTGCACTAAATGAAAAGTCTGATAAGCATAATTCTAATGTTAAGTAAACTGATTATTTGGTAGGAAGTAAAGGGCTACTATAATAATTAGCTCGTAGGGTAAATTATGGCAAGAATCACTTGCTGGTATAAAAATTATGATATTTATTAGTGTTTGTAAAGATTATTGTCTTCCTAAATAGATGTACTTTAATTATTATTCTATTCATCTTTGGCTGTACGATTTTTTCTACATAATTTTGTATCAATTAAAAAGGATTTACTTCGAATAACTACATGACGCCTTCGATTTTTTAAAATTACAATATCAATCATCGTCAACATTTTGCTTCGCTTAACGGAGCAGGATGAGGATGTTTACAGATTTGTATATTATATTTGTATAGTATATTATATACTATACGATATATTTATCAATATTTCTTATCTCAAACAATTTCATGCATGGTTCAGCATTTGTAAAACTTGTGTTGTTATATAATGATAAAACGCAGAAGTCAAGGAATTTGTAAAGTATCGTTTATAATGGATAATGTGAATTGTATATATGATTATTTCCAAAAGTAATAGTAAGAAATGTAAGCATTTTGCTGCCTATTACCTCCGCCATTTCTTGCTCACTTTTCATATAAGAACTAGAACATGGTTCAGAAGCATAAGAGAGAATGATAAATATCATGATTAAAAATATTTGTATGAGATACAAACGTAGCGAGATAAAATATCAATTACAGGTATAGATTCTGTATCACAATGTCATGTAATACAACTGTGCGCTACGATGTTGCAATCGTATAACACACTCGTATTCTAGTATTTAATACCATTTTGTCGATCAAGTGGCAATGACAGAAATCATTTGTTACATAAGAGGATCAAATCAGCAAATAATAAACATCATGAGAAAGTTTATTGGAAATACACAGTTGTACTTCATTATCAGTTTACGCTATTAGACTGACGACGCAGACTAATGTTATAGTGTTGTTATACCTCCAACTGCAAAACTTCGTATGCAACAGGCTTTAATGCATGTTCTCTTTTATCATAAACGCTCATAACCGAACATAACGGATCACTTCTTTTTCTGAGAATATTTCTATTCATATTAATTTTAATACGCAGAAATTAAATATGAACAATATTTTAAGTAATAATTGGAATTTTGCTTCTATATTTTTTATAACGATACTTTATCAATGTTTTATGAATAGAATATGAAGATATCATGTGAATATAAATCGTTCGAAGCTTTGCTAAGTACTTGTAACAACACTACGAAATTATTTTCAGGTACATATCTTTTATTATTATAGGAGAAATTGTTCGATATGCCAGGCTAGAGAGATATAAC